GCCGAATTTAAGCTTCAGAATTTAAGTTTCAGGGGGGGACGAAACCGAGCCCCACTTCCCCGGGTTCCTGTATATATATATATATTTGTCGAAGACTAAGCTACCTTACACCCCACGATAGATGTCGGTAGGCACACTAGCTTTTAGGATCAATATTTCGCTTCATATTTTTTAAATCTCCAAATCAAAATTAAATCTAAGAGAATAATCATGCATAGCCCAAAATCCATAATATCCGAATTAGCTTTTCATATATATTCACCTAAATATCATCCATTAATAAAGAATCTAACGTATACAACATATATATTTTTTGAATCTTAATCATAATTAGGTTGTATATATCTTTGCAGAATATTTTAACTTTCACTATATATATATTAATATTATTCCATATAAATTCATAATTTATAAAATATTATTACCTTTTTTTCCAATACATATTTATTTCAATAAAATATATATGCAAATATTTTCTATTAATAAATAAATTATCAATAATAAATCTCCAAGAATATTTCAATTTTATCAAATTAAATCTCATAACCTATAAAAAATATTACAAATAGAATCTTTATCTCATTCTTCCTTATCTTATTCGTTTCTCATTTTCTATTCCACGATATCCTCCTTCCCCTCATTTCGCGATATTCTCTACGAAACACGACATACCCTCACCCAACATTCTTTTTTCGCCTACATCCCCGCGACCCCACGATTTGCCGCCCTCACTTCCACATTCCGAACTAATATAAAGACATATAATCGAACCATTCACCAATACGACTAACTCAATACATCTTCATTCTACCTTTTCATAATAGAATATATTATATCGAAAAATATAATATATATCAACTACCCAATAATTTATTATAAGGTCAAATATCAATAAACTCCAATATTTATCAAACAATATAATAAATTATAAATTAAAATAGATAGTACAATCTATGAAAATATCATAAAACGATATGCCAAATTTACAGAATATTTACTATGATACGAATTCAATTTTTTCCTCAACATTTACTGAATTTCGCAATACGAGACCCCAAAGCCCTCGAGTGTTTGAGAGTTTCATATTACCCAACCAATCCAATGCGAACCCATCATAATCGCACGAATTTCTCAATTTCATTCCTATAATCGCCAAGAATCTAAGAGCAAACAATCGTAAATTAACCGACGATAACAAAATACCAGCATTTTCACAATTTCGTTCCGACCGACAACCATCCTATACAAATCCGAAATCGGAAGAAATACAGTCACAAATTAGCTAATCGAAAAGGATTCTATATCATATATATATATGTATATATATATATATATTTATTTTTTTATTTATTTACTTATTTATTTATTTCTTTGTTTATCTATTTATGTATTTATATGCTTATTCATTCATTTATTTATCAGAATGTCCCTCTTCTATTTTCTAAACATGAGAATTTCCGAATAAATAGATTTAGTAATATAAATCTCTCTTATGATTATCCAGGTCGCAACGTACATTTTCCCATATAATGAATAACCGTGCCAAGAGTATACTCTCGTGAATCGCAAACAAAATATTTGAAGTTGACCATTGATTAACAGTTTATCGAGAACGTGTCTGTATTCAGATTCCATTAATATCACTATGTAGTTTTCGGTGTTCAAAACAGGAGTCCCGAAAAATGAATATGCAACCAGGGTAAGCGAGGCGACCAATAATTGAATCGCCAAGGCCAGTCCCTAATTCTTCATCCAAGAACTCAGCGGTTGTGAAAATGCGGCAGCACGCCGGGAAGTCCTCTGCTCCAGCCCACCATTTCGGAGAGATCTTGTGCAAACTCTAGGGAGGCCCTCGCCCCTTCACCTCAGTTCTTCAAGGTCAAGAGTTCAGCACCTAATTCCGAGAAGTTTCAGCTCTCTGTGCTCTTCCTGCTGGGCTTCGGGGATGCAGTAGGCCAGAAAGGCATGTCCCCCGAACGTTATAAAATCTCCCTCTCTGTCTCGACTCTCTGCAGAGGCAGCGCGCCCCCTCGGACTAGCGGCAAGGTGGAAACAAACTGAAACTAAATGGGGGTTTCCGAAAATAGGGGACCCTAATATAGTACCCCAAATAGTAGGATCCTTATTTATAAGGACCCCAAAATAAGGTACCCCTTATTTTCGGAAACTCCCAAATTGCTCTAAATTCCTTTCCCGGCAGATGGCGGGTCGGGACCCCCGTGGCCCCCTGGTCGCCATGCCTCTCTATCTAAGATTTGGGCTCGACGCGCTACATGTAGGGAAAGGGATCGAGCTCTCGCAATTGCGGCTTACGGGCTTTAGTGCAGGCACATTCATGCATGCTTGCTTGCGTTGCCGCTAGTTTAGGTGACACTACATCGAAGCAAGCCTAGTCTGTATGAAACTCGGAAACGCGGACGAATCGTTCGCATGTCTGGACCAAGACGCAGTTCAGGTCGGCAGCTGGAATGTCTGACCGGATGAAGGTAGCAACTAAAACCTTGGTGTTCTGTCCGCTGCGCACCTCAGTTCTTCGTCATAGGTACGGGCATTACTAGGTTCTGAGTCTTCCACAGCCCCTTACTATGAGAAAAGCCTCATCTTTTCATCAGCATTGGGCGACTATCCAATGGTGTTTCCCATCGAAGTATTTGATCGCGAATTCACCCATTTACCTCGTCTGCCTTCGGGCGGCCTGGTTCATTAGGCTGTATGACTACACAGCCGCCAGTGTATACTAGAACACACTCGTCAAATCTGCTCCATCTGGTCTCAGGATGTTTGAGTTGTACCTGGAAGGTAGTCCATCAGTTGACTCCGCTCATTTCCGCTTCCAAATCATCTAGCACCTAGTTCTTCTTCTATTTCTAGCGCTTGATAGACATCGCCTACAGGGAACTCGACCATGCGAAGCCTTTTGACAAAGCGAAAAGCAGCGGGAAAATGTGGCTTCCATTGCGAGGCATACATGCGCAAATGGGCTTGGTCCATGCTCGGGCTACGAAGCTGCAGCAGACAATGAATCGTCCAAATCGCAGTTATTTCAGCCCTAAACAGTCCTATCATGTCCTAAACGTTAAGCCTCCACGATGCAACAACGGCAACCACTTGCACTTACCACTTGTGTCTCCGCCACCTAGCACCATCACCGCGACACTTTTCACCACACATCGCCATCGCCACCATCAGCAGCACCACCCATGCAAGACACAACCACCAGTGCCAAAACCACTGACGCTTCTACTACTCCGACTGCCAGAACCCTAAATTACTAACGATTTGAGACAAAACCTGAGAATCAGACCCTAAGGTCCAAAGACCGGGCCGATCCTCAAAAAATACGAAAAAGAAAGGCCCAGGAGCAGAGATTCCACGAATATACTCGAGCATGGCAACGAGCATGATATTGTCCTGCTTTTTTCCCAAGCTTGCTTGATGTAGGATAGTCTAGAGTCGACTCTAGTATATCATACGGTATGGTAGTAGTATACTATAGTTTTTGTTTAATGTCTCAAACCATTATTGCCCTCATCATTATTCTCTTAATCAATATTGCTAATACCGTTAATAACCGTTAATATCAATAAGAAATAGCGATAGTGTCATTGATATCATTATCAATATTAACACCTATTGCTAACATCAGTAACGTTATCCATTTTCATCACATTATAAACTTTCTTGTTTATCAAAACTGATACAGTTTACTACTTTCTCACTACTAGTCTTATCTGCGGAGGCCTCTCCATGGGCCAGCTGCTGCGCGTAGCCTTCGGCTCTTGGGGAGGGCGGGGGAGGATCCCGGCAGCGCAAAATCACATGATCTGCTACGCGTATAAACAACTACCATATTCATATACGTATACCATATACATATACCATCGTATATCGTATAATACGGTGATCAGAGCTTCAAGCTGAAAAGCTTGGGCTCTGACGGCAAAGGTCAACTCTAGAGGTGAACTCGTACTGCAAACCCGACCCTGAAGCATAAACCTACCTGTCAGACCGTCCGAAGCTTGCATGGCAGTATGCCATAAGCTCTGAAGCGCGGCGTAAACCGGCACAGCCTAAATCATAGGGCAATGTGCCGCATCTGAGGCCCCAATGCTTTGATCCGGTTCTCATCCGGTTCTCAGACAAGATCTATTCACGATATTATCAAAATCCTTCGTTAGCAATATTGACTGCATGGATTCTTGGATTTCGTAATCGGGTTCAACACCAGCGTCCAGAGTCCCCAAGACCTTTAAACAGGCCGAACTCTAAAAAAAAAGGCTTTGCAGACAGGGCACCTTTGTCTTCCCCACGAGGCTTGATGAAGTCGTAGATGCTGTAGCCCTAGAGGATGTGAGTTGCAAGCAAAACCCTCAGGCGACCTGGTCTCCTTTAAAACAAAACCTGACAGGGTTCTGCCGCTATGCTCGAGAACCCTTCGAAGATGCCCGAGCTAAGTTCTGCTTTAGGCTGGCAGTGGGCGTCGCGATTCCGATTCCCCGCGTAATGGGCACGGACTTGCTCAGAGCCTGCTCGCTGATCTTGCTGCCTGGGCTGTAGTCGACGACCTGGTTGATTTTGCCCTTCACCTGGCAATGGATTTCGTCTGAAAACGGAAGGGCGGGAAAGGCAGGATGTTTGGAAGTCATCTGCATCCCTCTGCCGTGCCCGTGAAGCCGCGCCCTCGGCCCTCAATAGCCCGAACAAGCACACTCCTAGACTCCTCGCTCATGGACGACAAGCAAGAAGTCGCGAAACACAAATCATGATGCGACGGAAAAGCATAATGGGGCTTAGTAGGGTCTATTAAGGGTATATAGGACCTAGGCTTATAGTGACTATAGTGTTTATAGGGTGAGCTAGATGCACAGGTCACGAGCCCAGGCCCTGCAGAGGCAGACCTCCAAATCTGCTGGCGGCCAGATGTCCAAGATAGTTCCCGCAGGCCTTCGACGGAGGAGCTCTTTTTGAGACTTAGGGCCTTTTTTGGGGGGTCTAGTGCTCGCTCCCCTGAGTCAGAACTTGGGGGCCTCCACTACTTCTTGCTACTAACACTACCACGGCCACCACTGCTGCTTCTACTGCTGCTACCACTACAACTAACACCACTGCCGCCACGACCACTGACACTACCACTCCCACTACCGCTACTGCTACTCCTATTGATTGCCGCTGCTCTCCTGCTGCTGCTGCTGCTGCTGCTGCTGCAGCTCTGCAGCTCTACTGCTACTCCTACTACAACGACGACGACGACTACTACGAAGACGACGTCCATGACATATTGGCACGCGAGCGGCTGCATCTGGCTCTCCTTGGCCCAGATGCCCAAGTATCCTGCACGACAATGGGTCGGACGGGGATTCGAGGTCCGAGCCCGAAATTCTACCAGCCTGCGCTCATTCACCCAAGGTAGTTTCGCCTGTTCCACTCTTAGCGGTGCATTACCGTAACACCTTGCCACCAACCACCTGACCTCCGGCAGATTCAGGCTCCGTCCTTTCATGTCGTTGAGAGCCTCATTGATGAAAAAGGCTTCCTCCACGACCGGTCCGATGGCCGAAGTGAAATATCTCAAGTGTCGGTCAAACTCCTCGTTGGCGTTCCTCGGGCACTAATCAATCCTCCCATGCCCCAACACCTCAAGGAAAATCTTCCCACGCACCTTCGCATCTTCTCTGTACAGTGTGTGCACTCGAGAAGCAGCAATGTGAATCTCAATCGCAACACACTAGCGTGCACATGTACGGATAGATACATACATGCACGCATGCAAAACCACACAAGAAACAAGTCCTGCACCACATCACACTTCCCAAGCTGCGGATGTGCAAGGACGGACAACGGCGTGGCATCTCATACTGTTGCACCTTGTGTTATTTGTTTTAACACCCTGACAACCAGGTAGTTGGAGAATAGTATACCATGATACTCGTGCATTTTACAAAATTGCATGCCAAGCTTCTCGTGCAGTGGGCTTACAGTTGACAGTGTTCTGAACATAGGGAGCTGTGGAGCTGTAAGCTGCAAAAGAATCCGCACAGCTCGACAGTGCAGCAGCCCGGTTAATCGTCACTACGACAAAAACCGTGTCAGGAGGTTTGAAGCAACAGGATGTTGCCGCAATGACACATACGAGCATGCTGTGCAACACAACGACATCAACCTTTTTGGAGATGACAAGTGAGAAGTAATCCGTAGTTGATATGCGGAAAGTCCTGACAAAACTTGCCTAATTTGTTCGACTTTGGCAGACTGTCCCACTTGCGGAACAGAGTCTTTGCGGCCCAATCATCCATGGCCCCTTTCAGAGATTCGAAGAACCACCTCCGCGTCTCCTTCCACTGGGTGACCTGGCGGCTGACGGCTTGAGCTAGTGTGGCTGTGTGGCTGTAATGTCAAAACGGTTCGTGTCTAGCGGCCTTTTTCACGTATAAGTGCGGGCACGTACCCAGATGTAAGCAAACAGATGGAGATCTACATCCGGAGACATCTCGAGATTGCATCGAATCGTCTGGAGGAGATCTGGTTATCTACATACGGAGATATCTCGTCTATGTCTATGCATGGAACCGTCTGCACTCCAGTGGACAAAGCAAGAAGTGGCTCCTTTACTGAGACTGTGCAACAAACATGAAGCCATTGGTGAAAAGGGGAAGGTGCCCCTCGCACACGCAAGGCAAGATGCGGGCTTTCACCCAGACCCTGCCTCCGGGAGCTCTTCGCCGGGTTTCTTGCCTTGTCATTTGAAGCATGCAGAGAGACGGCGTACAGAGCATGAAAACAAAGTCCCGGAGAGGCATGGAAGCTCACATGACATCGCCTCACATATGCTCCAAAAAATGCCGTAGAAAGTAGAACCCGTAGCTTCGTCTAAGATGCGCACACAGCTTTCTGGAAGCCAAGCCACCGGTCCGGCCCTGCACCTTCCATTTGCCGAAGTTTTGGTCACTCTTCTGAATGACGGTGAGCCTATCCAGCAGTAGCAGCAGTGTCAATCTCTAGACACATTGTGGGGCTGTGCGTCGACAACATGGAAGAAGCTCAGGCCGCTTCTTGCCCGGTACTTCTGTCAGAGGTGATGGGTTGCTGCCAATCTTCGAGTACCTCGTCTTCCGGGCTGGCACAAGTAACCGCAGGAGTCTACCCTTTGTTTCACCACTCATCGTTCTGTCCGTTGAACAAGTCTCTTAAGCCGATGAGGTCAGTCGCCGGCTGAGATTGGTGTTCTTGCGAGCGCAAAGTGCGGCAAGCAAAGCTAGACTCCAAGGGTCTTCAGCCGTCGCGTGGCTGCAGCATGTCTTGTATGTGATACGTGGAGTTCTTCCACATTGGGCGCCTTGCTAACCGCATGCAGATGGGAACGGATAACGGATGCAACATGATCTGTTTGAGGCCTGCAGAAGCTGCAATCCAATCCTTGCGACCCTGCGCATCCGCGAAACCCGAAGCCAAGCACCCCAACAGCTGCTGTGAAGCCCAGGACTCGTGAATCTTGAACCTCCAGGAGTTACGTCACTTCTCAAACACAGTAAATGCCTGTGATCGCCTTAAGGTTCTTGAGTATTCAGACTATGCACTTACATTCGTTCCCGCATCTGTGCAAAACTGCATACACATGCACACATACCGACATAGAAACACACCATTTCTGCCGTGGCTCGAGTTGGCTGACAAGCATGATGGATTGGATTTGGAAGGTCTGAAGCTTTTTGGGCCTCAGTGTTCGGCAGCGGGGGACGCGCACGGCCAAATTACGCCAGACTGTGGAAGATCAACTGCTCCCGTGGAAAAAGGCGTCCAGCCTGCCTCTTCTACTACAAAAAATTACTGTACCTCGGTCATCGAATCTAGTGTCGCTGCAGGACCTGCCCTCGTCAAGACTCCGGATTACTTGACCGCCTCGTGCTGTTCGCTCCTACTGCTCTGCTATGGCGGGTCCTGTTTCCAGCGAGTTCGACTTGCTCTACCGACACGGCGGTTCGCAAGAATAGGAAGTTAGCTGTTATCAATCCAGGGCAGTGGTGCAAATGGGCGGACAAGTAAAAAACATAGTCGCTGGGTTTTCGGTTGACTGCTACCTCCAGCGCAACTGTATCGCCAGCCGCTTATTTGAAGAGCGATGCCGCCACGTGGCAAAGGATGATGTGGTCGACCACACCGGGGCTGTCCTTCTTGCATTTTCCCGTCTTCTTGTCCTTAGTGACCGCATCGCATGCTAGGGTTTGCTGATTTTTGCCGGGTTCGGGGAAAAGTCTCCAGTTGGGCCGCCATGTCGACCCTGTGGAGTACTAGCACTAGCACGTCTGGACCGAACACACATCCTGCATGGCAACTCAATCTCGGCATGGTGCACGAAGGCAGCGCGCCCAGAGCCGCTCGGCCCAGTACCAGTCAGGCCCTTAGGGGTCTGACAGGTCCATTGGCGCGGTTTAGAGTACAGTGGCGGCGCATTCGCGTAGGTCTAAATCACTGGTAGCAGAAATTCGCAAGCTCGGAGTTGTGGTGCTGGGAATCTTTTTAGGTCCTGGGATAGGTCTCTGTACGGCAGTTCCGTACCGACTTCAACGCATTTCCTCTATGCCCTATGCCGCGAGCTGAAACAGTTCTTGCAATCCGAGGCCTGGGATTTTGAACGACGAGCTCCCTGCCTCGACTACTTTGTAAGGTACTTGACATCCAGCAGCCGAGCTGACAAACCCTGAATGCAATGAATCCGCATTACAAGAATAAGAGCGCTGGCGGCTGTGGATCGACGAAAGCGGTCTGTGACGAGGGGGGATGTTTACAAGACACTTGAGATGTTGCCATCGATGATCTGCGCGTTATAAGCTTCAAGCCCCAAACCCAAAACGGTACTCAAACAAGTATGGGCTTGCGCGTCAACACTTCTCAGGCTTACTGGTCTCTAACATGCTCCCAGGCGCCAAGAGGGTTTGTGTCCTTCCGGTGTTGGGAGAGACCCGGCGGAGTTCCTGTTGGCTCAAATAGGCCCGGGCAGATTCGTAGGCAGTTGCAAGAACCAGCATGGAAGCCATGTAAGAATATAACAAGGACAAGATGAGGAAGAAGAGGCGACGGGCAAGAACAGCGAGGCTGATACATGTAGTCGGTGACTATCAGAAGGCTGGCAGCTCGGATTCCTACGAAGACGCTGGCCCAGGCTCGACACAGCAACGAGACGCTTCAACTGAAGCCCGTAACCCAGAGATTTCAGGGAGAAGTTCAGCTGTGTACAAGTCCGACGCGGGGTTACAGTAGATGTTTGAACGTTGAACTCGACATCCGCACTTGAGAATTCAGGTTTGAGCAGGTAACCGTGCACAGTGCGCCTTGGCTCTGCATTTCAAAGATCTCCTCGTAGGAATAGAATACCGCCTTTTCCCTTGGCCGTCTGAACGAGAAGCAAGCTGCAGAAAGGACAGCGACACAGCGAGCTCGAGATGGACCATCCCGTACTTGATTTGCTCAAGCTCAGGTGCGACTCCAAACTTGCAGCCGAGGCTCTGCGGCTTCTGCCCCCTCGTCGCTTCAGGTTCAGTCCAGATGAACCTCGGTTTTTTTTGCACAGGCGGAAATTTCTTCGCCCTGCCAAAGCAGGAAAAGGAAGACTTTGAGACCCTCAGCGGACTGTGCCCAAGGCGCCTCAAGCCTCCGGGAAGGTCCACGCCTCGTTCGTCCTGCAGAGAACAGAGAAACTCGGCGTCGTCACGGATCTCTGCGAGTTCTTCACAGCCCTCTCTTGAAGAAATTGGGTCCTTTCTTCTCCAGAGCTCTGGCTTGTTCAGGTTGGGGCCGCAGGAACTCCGTCTTGCCACCTCTGAGCAGGGCCTACTCGGGTGCCAAGGTCTCAGGCTCCTAGCTGCGATTGGTCTAGACGTAGCATCCATCCCTCATCCCAGCGCGCACTTAGCAGGCGTCAGCTGTGAGGCGAGGCATTCGAGTAACTAGTAGCACATTCCACAAACTGATGCCCCCCACACACACACACACACACACAGAGAGACAGAGCTTCGTCCTTCGTGCATTTCAGGGTCCTCCGGATTCATTCCTACAGATGTCCCGTTGGACTGGTACTAGTGTTGAATTGGCTAATCCACGACACTCTAGTATCACGCGCTCGCCACAGGGCAGTGCGCATTTTGGCTGGCAGGCTATTATTGATGAGTCCAGATCGCAGAGTGGTGAAACGGCAGGGTCCTGTTATTTCCTTGTGGAGCAGCGAATGTGCTAACCCCAGAGGGGACAGTGCTGAAATATGGCTTGGCTTGGCTTGGCCTGAACTTTTAACTTCAGCCGGGGATGCGAGGGGCGGCTCGGCGCTACCCCCGCAGGCACACTTGTGAAAAAGGCGAAGCAACAACATCCATGTCATTTACCGAAGTTTGCGAGCCAAGATGCTCGTGAGTGTCACGTCCACGCAGCCTTTCTGTGGATTTGTCTTATCACATTCTTCCAGCACATCCTTGAGCTCGTAGCACCTATGCCGATGCAGGGGATTAGCCTCTTCGCAGCGGCGGAAAGCAGTACTATGACCTTCGAAAATTTTGGGGTTTTGGGGTTAGGGTTTAGGGTAGTATTGACTTGCAATGAGTTTGAGGTCAAGCCCTTTGCATCCAGCTCTGCTGCCGCTAGAGCTGAAGTCCAAGGCGAGAAGTTGGCGAAGAGAGCGGGGATTTAATTTGCAGGAAGCTCTGCCAGCGAAAACGTAGGAGAACTACGCACTACACAATCATCCAGTGCGGCCAAGGAGAAAGCCATCTTAATACAGGTATAGGCTATACGACATAACTGCATCCAGCAAGCTGCGTGTACCATACCTAGAGTACGACGTTGTTGTGAAAGTCTGCCTTGCATCCACATATGTCCACACACTGTGCAGTCTCCCAATCAGCAACCCATGATGCACAACCTTTGGCATAGGAAATCGATATACTGGAAGACATCTATACCAAACATCGCTCAGGATGTCATATGTCATGAGCATTCAAGTAATCTGCTGCCACGTGCATGCCAGTGAGAATGCTAGCTAAGAGCTAGTACCCATGCTCACTTGTGCTGTGAAAAACCCAAACTGGGACGAAAAAAACAGATTCCTCCCAGAAAAAGGTATGCGTCTAACGAGCTTGGACGGTCATGCCTTAAAGCACATGCGAAGCCAAGCAAAAAGGCAGGGGAGGTGCCATGAAAGGCTTCCGGACATCTCCTCGTAGCTGCTGAGGTTTGCCAAATACCTCGGCCAAGCCAGGGTTCCAAAGCGGGTTTAGGGTTTAGAGGTGTTTAGGATAGTCGGTCACGGAAATCGAAGAGTTCCGAACAGCTGATGTAATCTGTCACATAGGTAGGTGACTCCGATATTCCGACTTACATGACTCGTAAGTCCACTTCACGGACTTACCAGCTCGCTTGCTTCAATGTGCTACCCAGTAAGTCACCTAAGCATTTACAAACGACTATCCAAATTATGGCTGTAGGATCTTGCGCACAGATGCGTCAGTACGTACGACATGAAGAAAAGGCCCTCTACCTCTGTACGTACGTTGCTATGGGTTTCCCTGAATGTGCGCATAAGCCTGCACGTTTATGCAAGCATCTGAGTGTACAAATGTGTGGTATGTTCTTTTCATACGCATCTCTACCAGATGCTATCGGCCCACTTCATGCATGCAGGCTGTTTCGCCATGAGCTGTGCTGGCGTCTTGCCGTTCGCGGGATCACACTCAGGTCTGCCTTCGTGGCTTTGTCACTTCTGCGCAGAATGGGCTTAGTGATCGGGGTTGGGAACTTTTCCGCAGTTGGGCCGCATGGTACCCAAAAAGCCCGAGCCTCAGACCAAAGCAGGCACACCCCTATAAGGCCGTATAACTTGATTTTGACGCTCAAGCCCCCCCCTACAGAATGAAGCCGGCTTTGTCCGGCTCAGGCGCAGATGTGAGAATAGTCTTCCTACTTAGAAGCGACCTGGTCATTCTTGAAATATTCGCCAGATGGCTCAATACTCACGTGCACACAGCTGCATCGCGCACCCCAGAGAGGGTCCAGAGGGATCTGGTTAAAGCGACTCTACCCGCCACTGTTACTCCTACTGCTACGGGGTCAATACGGGTTACCATAGAGCTACTCACTCGAGTAGTTGCTCTGGCGTTTAGGGTTCAGGTTCGTTTGGGGCCTAGGGCATAGAGCATGCGGCTAGGTGATGGGATGTCCTGGCCTTCACGATTGATAAAGCGGAGAAAGCCGCTCACCATGACCTCGAGTTGGGCTTCGACCAGAGCTGCCTTCCTCCCTAGGCTGATACTGCTCAGCTTCAAGGGCACTGAGGAGATGAGATCATGGGGCAACTGCAGTGCCGACAAGTGCATCACCACCATGCAACGCACTGCATCGCAATCCTATCCTAGCCGCCCTAGTCCAAAGAGAAGTCCGGGCGGCCGCAGGATCCTCGGAGCCCGCAAGGTCCACGGTCGAGACGGGCGCCACTTTGCCTGGTGAGGTCCCGATGTTTAATTACACTGGTGTGCTGTGCAATTAAGGATTGAACCCTAAACTTCCAAAATAAGGAAGACTTTTGTACCAAATTCGCAGACAGTCGCCTGACTTGTAGTGGATGTTGGTGAGCACGAAGAGCGTCCCGCGGGAAGATTTCGGATTGTTGACAGTGCCACCTCTGCCATTTCAGAGTTTGAAGCGCTACACACGTACGATTCTGCTTGGGGTTGACGCGTTGACGACGGCGAAGTCAGGGAAGAACAACAACGAAAAAGCTGGTGCAATTGCTTCCTGTGAACCCCGAGGCTTCACAGCTTAGGGCGCCGGCGGATATGTGCGATCGGCTCGCCCCCAGCTTTGAACTGATCCTCTTCGATGCGGATGTCCTCACGGACTTCCACGAGCACTCTGGAACATCCCAATGCCGAGCACTCTATGGTTCCATCAGCTCTTTCCCAGATTGATCTAGCTGCCCGCGTGCTAGAATCTGCTAGAACAGGCTTCTAAATCTCGCAACCCACCCAAGGCATCCTCAATGACGGTCAGGAGCTTTTTGACCTCTGCAAGAAGCGTTCGCATTTTTGCGAAAGCTTGTACCTCTAAAAAGGATCATGATAATTCCAATGCTGATGCTAGCATCCTTGGTATTGAAATGGATGGGGCCAGACGCAAACAGCCCGAGACCGCAAGAGGCTATAGCTCTGAGGCTCGCTGCAACTATCGGGGAGAACCCCAATACTTCATGCCGCACTTCCCGCCTCGTCCTGCCAGGCCACCGTGCCTGACATGGAAGCCGGACTTTCAGCCTCTCATGGCGCGACTTGGAAGGGCAAGAGAGGGGGACTGTGACTGTGACTACGTGCTGGGAACGGTTCCGGATTCCGAGACTCCTTGCATTCTGATTGCTCTTACTGCACTTACCATCAGCAGTGTCAGGAGTCATCACAGTAACAGCAGCAGCAGGAGGAAGAGGAGGCCAGAGGCGCAGTGGAATATAGCCCGGTAGTAGTACCCACGAGGTCCGCTTCATTCTCAGCTGATTCGCACCAAAACCTGTCACACGCCATCTCAACACGTGCAGCACCGCATAGCACCGACAGGCTTACCGCATGCATTCTCCGGGGTCTCATCATGAGCATACTTTTAAGCGACTGTTGGGTTTTCACTGCCGCCAACCATCACCACCAGCCGTCACCACCAGCCTCATCCTCGTCGTCACGTTCAGCAATGCCAGAGCGGTATGGTCAATGAGACTGATATGACTTCTGTGATCGCAAGACCCGCCCACGGCAAAGTCAGCCCAACCGGCCTTGACGCTGTACGTGTAGGCTTCATCATCCAGCATTGCCTGGCAACGAAGCTGATTTGGAGGCTTCCTCTTTCGAGTTCGGGGGTCCTAGTCTCGAGTCCGAAAATCAAAAGGCATTTCAGGAACTCAACCGCCCGCAAGCTTCAGCCTGCACGCCCTCAAGTGCGAAGCAACGCGAATCCCTGAACTCCGATGATAAAACAGCCCTCTCCCCGAAACACGGAAACAACTCGCCTCCAACTTCTTCATGTCCAAGGGCGCATGGCCTGGAGAACTCCAAAGAGCAGCGTGGGGCTCAAATATTGTGTCTTGGGGTCTTTGCTTCATGGACGGCCTCCGTAAGCAACCTTGACGGTCAACTCCACTACTGACATGAAGGTGGTATTGCCCCTTTCCCCGCAGCGACCCTGCCCCGCAGGGTTCAGGGCTTACGCCAATCACTGGGATCTGCTGCCTTATGACCCGGATGAAATTCCGCACTGCAAGGGGCCGAAGCAAGCTAGGACAGAGCCTCCTCACGACACCGTCGAAGACCGTCGGAGGAAAGCGAAAACGGAAGACTTCTTGCATGTTTCACCGCTCGGACAGCACTGGTGGAGTTAGACAAAGCCTAGACAAAACGAGCCATGCGACGACCCCCGAAAGGCTTCTTGAACACGGGCTGCCTTTCCTGAACTTAAATCTCTTGGGCTCAGGTTGGGCCAAGATGCGGGGCGGCCGGTTCTCTTCTTCCTCAGGGTCATGCCTCAATGGCTTTGAGATTTAGGTGCGTTCGATTTTCCAGCAAAGGGATTAGTTGCACAGGATCGTGGCTGCGAGTTCGTCGTCGCAATGGTTTTCTGTGGTAGCACAGTGATGGACAAGATGATGCTAGCCGCGCTAGGCTGCACCAGCAAGAGCGAAACGAACGTGGAACTATGATACTATGCAATCATGATGCTTGTTACTACGACGCCGCCATGGAACCGCCGGCGCCATGAAAAGCGCTTGCGCAAAACTAGTGGTGGTGGTGGTGGTGGTG